CGCATTTCTTGGGTATGTCATGCAATTATTTCACATGTTTAAATTGTTTCCTATTTGATTTGGACTGAGCTGCTTTGAGTATGTGATGTTCATCAAAAGTAGCAAAACAATAACAGAACAGAAGAATATACACATGCAAACACAGTATGAAAAGCAGTGAGATACTAGCTATAGACTCACACATGTAAGAATTTATGTGAATACTGTAAAACTATCTTTGCAGCCAAAAAATCCCAGAAAATCCCAGCCTCTGAAGAAACCGACAAAAATTTTCAATTTTAAGAGAATCGAACAATTTGACTCTTGCGAAACTAAAACTGTTTACAATGTCATATTTGCTCTATTAGTAGTGTATGTGCTTACATAATTCTCAAAGGTGTGTCTATGATCAAAATTAGTCATATTTTAATGATCCAGCATGCATTAAATACAATTTTTGATTTCTGTGCACTTCTACTAGAAATGTCCTTCTTTCTATATTTTAATTGCACTATAAAAAAGCAAATATGGTACATTGAATAGAACATTTTTTGTTCACTGCGAGATCCCGCGCTATGCGTGAAAAATCAAACGTAAAAACAGGACAAACAAAGGTCATAGTGCTGTACACATTTGATGATGGTCAATTTTGATGAAATAAGGGTATCTAAATGCAATATTCCACTTTCAAAGATCGCCCTTTCGACTTTGAGCTATGAAAGTTCAAAATCAAACGTTAGATTTTTGCGGCAGACGTTCGGTTCGCGTCTTTCACGCAATACGTAAAATAACCTATTATAATCACATATTACATAGTCAGTGTTTTATGACTTGTTTAAAACAGATTCACCAACTGCAGTATGATAGCAGACATGCCACTATTTCTTTGACTGAACAAAATGACCTGACTTACGTAGTGACGCTAAGTTAAGTTCTTCCGTGACTTTTGCCTCTGCAAGTAACTCTTCTTGGGTGAGTCTTCTCATTTCAGGAACCCTTCTACTGGCTTGCATTTCACGTAGTTTCTTGCTTTTTTCATCCCTTTCCTTTTGTCGTAGTGAAGCTTCTTGAGTTCGTTGTCTGGTCGACTTCCTCACTTTATGAAAAAAGCAGTTCCGATGTAAGATATAATGAGATTATTTGAGAAATATTCAGTAATATGTAAATACATCATGGTGATATGTTATTCAGGTTACTGAATACCTAGTGAGTCTGACAGTTACCCAATAAGTAGCTTATACCATTAATGAATCAGCATCCTGGTTCTATATGAAGCACTGATTGGTTGTTCATTAATGAATATTCAAATCATAGCATCAATATACAGACTGTATACATACTTTGCCTCAGGATTTTGTCCATTGATAGTTATCTAGGCTTTTGTATTTATAATTTTTTAAAATTACTACCACGTACAAATTACACTGCAAAACATGAACTAGAAATGATAAGGAACAGGCTTGTTCCAAGATATTACACAATGGTGAAGATTTTATCAAAAACAAACTTTCAGTTAACTTCATGTTGCTAATTAGTTAACAAACCAGAAAAAAGATTTCAAGAGACAAAAATACAGCACATCATACTCACATTAAGGTTGCCCTGATATATAAGAGCAGCTACTATTTCTGTGCATTTTTGTTGCACATACTAATGTATGTAGGGAGTGACTTGGGATTGAAGAGACAAAGTTCTCTGATAGGGTGGCAATGATATAAATATGGCAGCAGTATATTGTATAGTATACAGAATAGATCAAGTATATAATTATCTTGAAGTGTAGCATATTTTTTCTGCAAGAAATGTTCACTAATTGATAATTTCATGACACTTGGATGACAAGCTAAATACTGAAATCACTTCAACTGGCTTCAAAATTTCCAACCATTGCTACAATATTTTAATTTTTCCCCTTCACAAAAATGTGTCTATCATGAAAGTAAAGTAGTTTACAGTAGATACTAATGTCAGATTAATTGGAATAATCTTTCAAGCAGGAATTACCTGGTATAAGCCTGGACACATGTATGGGTTTCAACACTGGAGACGAGAACTATGAATTCTATCACTTACATGAAAACTCTTTGGTTTGTGGTAGAGCAGCAGGTAGAGCAGTGCCTTGTGCATTTAGTACAGGTTTAGGCTTTGGTTCACTTGTTTTTTTTGCTGTGGGTTTCGGTGCCTTTTTTGGTTCCTACAAAAAAAAGAAAGAAATGAAGCCACAATATTAAAAGTAGATTGCCTGAAATCCAACTTGGACATGATTCAAAGTCTTTACACATAATTGACGTTGTTATTAAGCATCCTTTTTTAGGACCTGGTGGTCAAATGGAGATGTGCTATGATATGTAGCTAGAAAAATTGGTTTGAGTCATACACACAGTATGTACATGATTACTTACATGTCAACTGAACATAGTACCTTGTCAAGTATTCAGTATTTTTCATTTGCTGAACAAATTTTCCAGTTTAAAGGTGAACCGCTCAATCCCATGGATTGCACCACGTGCTCATAGGTTATTAACTCCGCCTCTGTCCACTAAGTAAATGAATGCTTATTATGCTCGCTTACTCAAACTGTGATTGACAGGCATTTTGCATACATTAGCCACCATTTTAAAAATCAGGATTTTTAATTGTTGTGGCACGTTTCGACCGAAAACAACATTTATACATTGAAAACCCAACCAGATGAGTGTAATCGCTAGCGTACATATTCATGTCCCTGTAGAAAAGTATTTGGAATCATAGCTTGATCTCTAAACATCATAAATGGCAGATTTCCCGGAGCTCTCGTAATGATGTGAGCAGCTTGGTTCGGATTAGCATACTAATTTGCGGTGGCCATCTTGCCCCTATTTATTATAGTATCGGTCTCCCTTTAAGACCTACATCACATGTACATGTATATGACCTCTGATTTGCATACAAGAAACCTAATCTTAATTTCTTTTATTGGTTATGTCAGCAATAATCAAGACAAGAGAAAAATGTACACTTACCTTATATGATTTTGTCACAACTCTCATTTTCCTTTTTTCTTTTTGATCAACTTCGTGGTCACTGACTGGTTCATCCTCTTCAGATGCACTGAAATCTGAGTCCACCGTATCCTCACTGTCCTCAGCTGCACTTTCAAATTCATCATCTCCTGATTCCTGAGAATCATATCATTATAATTAAGTGAAATAGTGATAGATGGTTAGTGTCAGGGTAAATGCACTGTCTACACTATTAATGCAGAATCTTATTACATGTTTATCATTATAGTGTAAGAAATGTTGCCTTAAATGGCATGACAATGTTCACTGATTTATCATGTAAAGTCATAGAGCCATTGTACCATGGCACCATGAATTAGTATTCTTTTGTGTGTATAGTGACGTATTTTGAGAAACTAAAAATAACTATCTTTAGAACAATTCTATAGGACACAATGCTAAAGAAAATTTTTAATATTTTTTACAAGCAAATATACAATTTTTTCAGTCTATCTCACCAGGCTACAATTTGAGATATAGCATAATATCTCTGCTGTAGGAATCTATGATAAAAGCAATATAATACTGACATAAAGGCCACCATCAACTAAAATACAACCATTATTTTCTTGAAAATTAGGCTGGTGACCCCCAACTTCAATAGTCAAAAGTGCTCCAGGGTACATATTATTGTAATGTAAATAAAGTCTGGATATTTGCTTTAATGAGTAGGCTTCTGGAAATAAAATACATTTAAAGGAAAAGTCAAGTCTAACAACATAATACTCCCAGATGAAAAAGCCTGGCAAATGTAAGAACATGCAATTTACTGCTTTATCATATCACTTTTCATTCTCTAGATACATTTGTATTTAACTTTTCATCAATATATGTAGTCCACCATCTTGATTCTTCAGCATAGGATTATAGGTGAAGTATGACATCATATCCACTGTTTTAAAATATTGAGAAAATGATTTCATCTATAACTTTAAAAGTTGAACTTCAAAAACGGCTGAAAGTTTAGAATATGGTAGCATGCATGTTCCAGAGCCAAACATGCATATAAAAATAGTTGTCATGACAACAGAACTGTAAAAATTCATTTTTGTGTTTTTCTTCCAAATGCTCAAATTTCCAGATTTATAGATAAATGCCTTTACCCATAATCCTTTGCTAGAGAATCAAGATGGCGGACTGTACTAAAGAAAAGTTGAATTTTCTGAAAATGAAAAATGTAAATTGCTTACTCCTAAATTTGTGGAGTTCTTTCTTCTGGGAGCATTATGTTGTTTGGCTTGACTTCCCCTTATAATTAAGAAGAGTCATTCTCAACCATTTCAACCTACCAGGTATATATTTTATGAAAGCGCAGATAAGTACTCTAAATAATAATCAATGGTATATTAGGTGCAACACACAGTTAGTCACGTGATCGTTAAGTAAATAAATCCATTCTTGAGACTTTGAATCAGTATTAAAATTGTGTTCATCAAAATTGCAGAATAAAACACTAAAAAAATATAGGTCAAAACGATTTTGTGTAACTTTTTTGGTTTGAGGTAGAGGTCTAAGTTTGCGTTTTGCTAGTCTGAGGTGAACGTTTTTACATTCGGGCAGTAAAATCTCTAGAATGTGTAAATTTATGAAATAATCCTGAAGACTTATTTTTTCATTTACTGTAAAGGGGTTAATTATTCACTGGGTTTTAATTTTGCTTATTTCGCTGACTGGAAAATGCTCTAAATTAATACCCAGTGAATATGTAAAATTTAGCATAGAACACATTATTTAAATGATAAAACAGTGAATTTAAAACCAACTGAATATGCCTGAAGTGGTAAATCAGTGAAATTTAAACCCAGTGAAAATTAGTCATTTTACAGTATATTGCATCTACAATCTACAAATTGGTGGTAGTTTTGGTGACACAGGTAGTTTTTTTATACGGGGCCTTGCACTGGAGTCAATGAATGACTGGCAATGTCACAGCATGGTTGGCAGATTAAGTTCAATGGGGACATGCTTAGTCAAGGTATCTGAACTTTGCTAAACATCGCACTAGCAAACCATGATTACAAATACTCAAGGTATGTTTGTTTCAGTGTAATATCTCTAAATTTGTTCTCAACTCATAGTGTCTAGACTGAAATGTGATTTGCTGGTCATGCGTTGAAAAAAATAGAATAAGTTTCCTCACTTTGGTCATCCAAGTGCACCATGGGACAACTTATCAATTTGACAATGATAAGATGCGGACAATTGTTGAAAATGAATGTGGAACATACATACCTCCTCAAATCCACCATAGGTTGTTTTGTAAAAATCATCTGCTTCGTCTATTTCTTCTTGTAGCAGTTTAGACATGCGATTACCGGCATTATGTCGCCGTTCTCGTCCACCAGCCAAACTACTATCACCACCACCACTCATCGTAATATTCGATCTTGATGATCACGGAGTATCGAACAAAAGAGTGATATTCACTCTTCCTGCTACAAGTCAACAGACGCACGTAGATATAACACTTAGTTATGCTAAGCCAATATTATTCGTTACAAAAACTACTACATTCAAATTAAAATTGGCTAATATGATAACACTACTTTCCAAAATATAAAACAAATCTTATTCAACAGGAGGCCGCCATTTTGTCTCTCATCCTCGTTCAGAAATATTATGTTTTACTTCTTCGCGATCTTATTAGTAATTGGTACACATTATTAATGATATTACGACACATTAAATCCATTATAAGAAACACAAAAAGCACGTGCATCGTGTCACGATATACTGAAATTTAGTAGCAAGTCTACTGTATAGTGTTAGGAACGAGGACAAACATACTGCCCTCTTGCGATTGCTTGAGTCAAAAGAATTGTGGACGCCATTTTCATATAGTTGTCGGTTTGTGAGAAGTCTGTTGTTCATCTTCAACCATCGACCCGAACCACAATATTTAACATCTATACCAGGTAGGAACACATAAACCAACATTTATAGTTTGTCGTAGTTTTATTATTATTAAATAAAGTTAAACCGTTTTCACGATATTGTAGTTTTTTGCCTGTGTTTTGATACTGGGCGTTGTATTTGTATACGTGTACATTTTTCTCTTGGCAAATTGCTGTTTTGTTTTGTTTTTTACTCCGAGTAAACCGTAATTTTTATTGTTAATTAACCTTTCCATTGACTGTTGTTTTATTACAATAGATTGGAAACTTTTATTCATAATTTCAATAATATTCGGTAACAGGCTCCCAGATTGGTGCGTGTAAATTAAAAATATGATTGTATTAGCTTGCTGTAGTTTGGCTTGTACACGTATATATTATACACACTGATATTGATTGGTATTGACTTGCTATCAATAAATGTATATATATTTTATTTTTTTAGTGGTTGGTCCAAAAGGTCTGCCAGGAAAAATCTATCATAATGGCGCTACAAAGACGTGTTGGCACAGGAGCAGTTGTGTCTCCTACACAAGCATCTCCCAAAATAGTGCTGAAAAGCACTACAAAAGTTTCATTAAATGACCGGTGAGGGGCATTGAAATACATAAACGTACATGCTATACAGAGCATGAAATCTGTTAGATTTGCAAGTGTTGTAATATTCAGCTGTATTATAATTATTTAGAAAGAGATGTGACCTATTGTTGGCAAGCTGTGACAAACAACAGGTTTACCGACAATAAGGTCTAAAAATACAATAAAAATGAGGTGTGGTGTTATCAGCAGCTGATATTGTATATGCACTCCAGAAACTCAGTTTCTATGTTGAAGATGGGCTATATGTTGTGAATCATGTATAATGTTATGTATAATGTGCTGAGAGGGTTGATGCTGCTTCCCATTGCCCATCTTTGGTGTGTCTTCCAGACATGACCACTGCAGTAAGAGGCATGGGAGCATTGTGTCTTGTGGTTCCATGCCCTCAGTACACTTGTGTACTTGGTAAGAGGCACTCGGACCCAGCAGCTCTGAAGTTTCAGATTCCTTGTCTTATAAGAAAAATACTTCACTCCCTGCTGTCTTATCTTTCCCAAGTTGTTCACCATCTGTTTCAAAATGACCTCGTTGCTGCATGTTCCTTCTGGTAAAGTCCACTTTATCCACTTCTGACAAAACTTACAAGATTTATACCCTCTCAATGTGAAACAAATTGACATACAATGTACCCATCACCTTTCATTCAACTTGAAGATTTACTAAACTGATCAAGCAAAGACCTCAGATGACAGCACAACAGAGGTCGGCCTTAATGCAACAACAAGCCATGGCATCATCTAAGAATAGAAGACTAGCACAACAGATGGAAAATAGGCCTTCAGTGGCTGCTGCATTAAATCCAGCACAGGTATGATTGAATGTGAAATATTATTTGCTTACTCGGAACATTTTAATTCCATATTGATAAAAAAATCAAAAAAAATCACCTATTTCATTATTTTGTGCACATGTACAACTTATTGTAAATTTGACAAGTGATGATTTTATTGTTGAAAAGTCCTGCTTCAATTTCTGGTTCGTCCCAGAGCATTGTTATAGCATACTATTGTTTGAAAAAAATAGCCATGGGAGAAAACTGAACTTTTGCACGTAATTGTACATACGACTATTATTTAAAAATGACTGGTTATGTGTTTTTTATTCACTAGTTACAGCAAATACAAAGGCAACAAGGAGCCAGAAGTTTGAAGCAACGTCTTGGGAAGAGCAATATCAGAGGACGTCTTGGGATTTCACAAAGAGGTGTTATGCGTGGTAGAGGAATTATGCGGCGTGGCCTTCCACAACGTGGAGCTCGTGGTAGAGGTGCCATAGGTAGGGGAGGACGTGGTTTCGTTAGGGGTGGGGGAAGAGGAAGAGAATTTAGAAGAGGTGGATTTGGGCAAGGAATGGGTGCGTCCAATTTTACTATTATTGTAATTGTTGCACGCCTTCATCTATGCTCCTATCTTGATTAGTTAACACTGCATCATAGTGTACTTAATGTTGCATCTCTGTAGTGTGGTTTAGTTTCTCTATTTTAGACTTATCATAGTTGTTTGTAGTGGACAAAGTTCAATTTTGTTCAGGTATCATGAAACCAATGCTGCAGCTGCTTTTATTTTAGTAGACTGCTGAAAATCCTTGTAGGTAGTTGGTAATTGTGAGTCTAACAAATCTAGTTTGCTGCCTGGCACAATAAGCTTGCTAATATAAGTACTGAATCTTATTTAACCACTAATTTTACTTGTACACAAATTCAGAAATGTCATCTGTGCTTTTGATGAATCAAACTACCATATTTTGCTTAGTCTGAAGTTGTGATTTCTATATTATAAGTAGTTGTCTTTAAGTGATTGCACAACTGCCGTTGATGGATATTTTAGTACATAATAAAACCAGTGAATTCAAGGAATCTTAATTAGCACTTATATTTGCTCATTAGTAGAGAGCTTGACCAAAAACAAAGGTTTTTATAAACACTTGTTTTGTCAAATTTCAGGTGGCAGAATAGGACGTGGTGGAAGAGGGGTTGGCATTGGTAGAGGCAGGGGACGTGGTCAAGGACTTCGTGGTCAAGGACTTCGTGGACAGGGATTTCGTGGACGAGGTGCTCAGAGGCGTGGTGGCAGAGGTGGTCGAGGTGGCGGCAGAGGAAGGGGTAGAGGTGCAGCAAACAAGCCAGTCTCCCAGGATGTCTTAGACAATCAGTTGGATGCTTACATGGCCAAAACAAAAGGAAGTCTGGATGCTGAATTGGATGCTTACATGGCACAAGCTGATAGCATGGAATAATTTATGGCTGTTACCTTACACTTCTTGGCAATTAGTGTGCCTTTACAAGATCTCCATTCCTGCATGTGTACATTTTTAGGTGCTTGTGAATGTGAACCTTTTATTGTGGACTCCTGCTGCCTATAGACACGGTAGTGTGCATCAGTGTTTTGATGCACATTTATGTATGGGATAGTGAAACTAGTAACTGAATTATTTGGTATACAAAGGATGTCAGCATTGCTGCTAACCATTCATGCTCTAAAGTATACAACTTTCATTGAACAATGTCACTGGTAAAATGGTCCTCAAAACTAATCATTGACAAGAAATTGATTTTAACAAATTTGAATCATGAGCTTAGTACGAATCAACACTTTTTTTTGGCATTCATTGCATTAAGTGCAAATATATTATTTTGGGAGATATGTACATACAGTTTTAGATTAACTATCTGTGATTTTCTGTGGCAGGCTGACCAAAGATGACTGCCTTGTGTGATTCTGCTACAATCTCTATTGAACTGTGAAAAATAACTTGTCGGTTATGAGTAGTGTGGATTAGACTTTTTTTATTGCTATTATTGTATTAAATTATTTATAACACTACTTTTGTTTCCTTTGTACTAGCTATGGTGGAAAACTAAAGTTCATTTCCTATAGTTTCAATGTTTATGTATCAGTATTGCCATCATTGCAAACATTTTAGCAGTGATATTGAGCAGGACAACTTAAATTCAGTTATCTTTTTTATGTAATCCTTTTCAATTAAATATTTAATTTCAATTTATGAACACTAACTGTTCACAAAGTTTATTTAACACAATTTCAACTTTCATTTTCAGTATGTTTTCTATTGTCATTTAATGATGTAAGAGAACACTTAGTTTCATCATTAGATTGTAGGACTTTTAATGTGACTTTAAATTTCATGTACCTAGTCATATTTCAAAATGGTATGGTAATGTGTTCTCTGTCGATATGCAAAAATAGTCTTTAAACCCTGGGATTCGGAACATAGGGTGCAGCGATAGACATAAACCGAAGTAAAACAAACTTTGAAACAGGCAACCTTTTTAATTTAAGTTAATTTTATGCATTAAGGATTTTTTTTTTACTTTTTTTAAATGTAAACTGATTTCAAACCATAGTTAATTTCAAGCAAGTACCTTCAGATATTTCATTCCTACCAGATATTTATATGTACAATGTCACTTAACTCGTTATAAACCTATTTTAAATATATTTGTTTTGTCTTTCATTATTTCCTGCCATACCGGTACCTGTTATAGTGTTCTTTAAATTAAGTTCTAATTCTATGCATGTGAACTTCATTGTTTGAATTTCAGACTGGCATTTAGCTGTGATGTTTCAGTAACTTGCACAGTAAAACCTGGCTTGGCCAACTTATTAAATAAACTCTCATTCACCTATAAAATTCCTTAACTTACACTGCCAAATTCAAAAAAGATTAATTACTAATGTTCTCCCCTTGAACTCAAACTGAAGGTTGTAACTTTGCGCATATGAAAAAAAAAAATTAATCTTCAGATTAACTAAGCAACTAAATTCAGGTTAACTAATCTTCAGATTAACTAAGCAACTAAATTCAGGTTAACTAATCTTCAGATTAACTAAGCAACTAAATTCAGGTTAACTAATCTTCAGATTAACTAAGCAACTAAATTCAGGTTAACTAATCTTCAGATTAACTAAGCAACTAAATTCAGGTTAACTAATCTTCAGATTAACTAAGCAACTAAATTCAGGTTAACTAATCTTCAGATTAACTAAGCAACTAAATTCAGGTTAACTAATCTTCAGATTAACTAAGCAACTAAATTCAGGTTAACTAATCTTCAGATTAACTAAGCAACTAAATTCAGGTTAACTAATCTTCAGATTAACTAAGCAACTAAATTCAGGTTAACTAATCTTCAGATTAACTAAGCAACTAAATTCAGGTTAACTAATCTTCAGATTAACTAAGCAACTAAATTCAGGTTAACTAATCTTCAGATTAACTAAGCAACTAAATTCAGGTTAACTAATCTTCAGATTAACTAAGCAACTAAATTCAGGTTAACTAATCTTCAGATTAACTAAGCAACTAAATTCAGGTTAACTAATCTTCAGATTAACTAAGCAACTAAATTCAGGTTAACTAATCTTCAGATTAACTAAGCAACTAAATTCAGGTTAACTAATCTTCAGAACTTGAGGTGTTGCAGAAATAAAAAGGCCTGAATGATGGGTTATATGACAAATTTGTTAAAAACTCCAATTTTCTGGTCAGATTTCATTCGAATTTAGAATTAACTGACATCGCTCGTAGTTAACGAACGCATACGTTTGTGATTTGAAATCTCCAACCGACTGTAGCATTTTAGGATTTACTGAACTTTAACAATCTGGTACCGATTTTGTTTTGATAGAATGTTGATATACCCACTTGAGAAAGCATAGAACAAGGTGTTTGGTACTTCATTTGTCCTCTGATGTATTCTGAAACTGGGTATTGTCGGTGTGTTTAGAACACTTTCTCAAGCGTGGTCGGATTGTTTAAAATTGGTACAAAGACGAGACATAATGCATTAAGTATATTATTGCTCGTAAGCCAACCGAATCCCCAATAGCTTAGATGTTAAATGCTCAATCTTCATTTGATTTGAATGTGAACCTTTGCCACTCAATTAGACATCACATTTTTGCTAAATTTGCAAAGTCTGGTCTGTGAGTTTACTATAGTGTTTTACACAATATTCAAATAGATGGGAAATGAAAAATCTTTAATTGATGAAAGGTGGATAAATAAGCCACCAAAACAATGGCCTTGACTAAGAGGTATTATCTTGAACACAATTATGCCGGCTGTTAAACTAGTATGTCTATGAACAGTGTATGTATGGGACACCTGCTTTTAAACATTATCTGAGCAACTTGAAAGAAGAAAAGCTGACAAAATTTGTTTTGTTCATTTTGTAAGTTTGAGCTAGGCAACATTTATTTTTGGCGAAAACTTTATAACATCTTGATTCAGCAAATTACGCATTTTTGGACCCGGTTTAAGGTCTATTATAAGTAATCTGGTTGAAACCTTCAAAGATTTTGCGAGGATGCCATCAACGGTAATTCGCTAAAATACTTCTGAAAAACACGGACCAAAGCATATGATTTCCCTCTTCCTTCAAACTTGAAATGTGTTGTCTTTCTTTTTGTGTCTTGTGAATTCATCATGCAACTGAAGTTGAAAACTAGTAGTTTATAATAACTGCTGTGAATAAAACTTTAAAAAGCTTGAAGGGCGGTGACCGCCGCGCATGTGCGACATTTGTGTTGATACACATTGATTTTCTCACACTTCTAATAGAATCACGAGTATGAATTTTGACCTGGACGAGACTTAAATTACCGCCGGTGACTGTACAACATTATATCGGGGTATTCTATTTTTCTATTACAATTTAGCCAACGATCTACGGCCATTACTAGTACCTCATTACGCACTGATCCCAAGACATACTGTATACCTTCCATGCTGTACATTATATGCACGTGCACGGAGTGTAAATAATAAATTTAGTTTGTCGCTTATTTCCATGCAAGCTTTTGAAATAATTCTCAAACAATACTTTATACTTGGACAATACGCATTTCACAAAATAACATGAAGTAGTACTGTTACAGTAAAGATATGTTTCAACAGTTGTTGCCAAGGTCAGATTTTAATAATCGATCGAAGACAGTAACAGATTTAGATCCCTGTCTGTGACACATTAAACTATGTACAATGCTGAGACAGGCATCATTGCTGGCAGTTAGTGGACAATCTGACAGTCGTGAAATTTGACAGGGGGTAGACATAGTTGCAGTCTTGGTGGTGTGGGTGCTGTAATTATCACTTGATGCCGTCATTTGGTTTCAAGTATATCGAAAAAGTTAAAACAGCTTTGGATCTCTTCTTGGGAAACTGTTATTCCGTGGATGGCTAACCAGAACATAGCAATAACTGGCAATATAGAAACCGATGTCACTTGTAACACTCTTCAGACCTATCGTTTTATCTATCCATCTGATCACAGTCCCTCTATCACAAAGGGACTGATCTACTATCATATCGATAGTTATCATATGTCAACACTATATGAAATATATATGGTCTAAGAGGCCGCCCTCTATGACGTAATAACGATGTCATTATTTATCCAATTTCTGGCAAACTCGAAATAAATGGCATATATATACCAGTATATGCGGTGGCTGCTACAAGGCACGTGTTTATTAGCCAAATATTCCTCTGTTGTAGACATAGAGGATTTCACCCCACAATCGCATAGGTGGAATATCCACCTATTAATTCACTTACATAACGAATAAATATCAATTATATTCTAATCTACAAAACGAATATAATTGTTAATACATTTCTGCTTTAAACAACACTGCACTTAATCAAAACTGTCACGTGTTGCCTTAGCATATAATCGTGATTCAACCATTACCTAACCCGAGGCTTCATGAACGAATGTAAACTTACAACTAATTCGTCAATTTTTCACGATACATTATTGCATTTATGATACGGATATCTATACAGGCCGTTTAGGGAAAACACGTGTACATGACGTTTACTATAAATTATCTAAATGTTTTAGCCAAAATCTTTTGAATAAGTTGTAGTTAGATTAATAGGATACCCAATTGCCATCAGTAGCCGCAGCAATTCCAAAAAAGTTTGTTTTTTTTTCATAAAACTCAATACATCATCAATCTTGATTTATGCAAGTTTTGGAGCAAAAGACGGAACTATTTTTGTTGTTAAATTTACGTAAATCTGTAGCGTTTTGAGTTTTAAATCACAACGAAATGTTTTGTTGTCTTCCGAAAATTGAATCACGTTTACTCAATTCGAGCGAACAAAGAAATAGGGGTAGGCCGTATTCTTCATTTCTGGGTGTTAATAATTTAATACTTACATGCATATATTCAATAAAAGAAATGCAGGTAGAATAATCTTATATATTTATGTTTCAGGGACGGTTCATTTTTTATTATCGAGTGGGCCGCCAAATTCTTTATAACGAGGTAATACTGTAAAATGACTAATTTTCACTGGGTTAAAATTTCGTTGATTTACCATTTTATGCACATTCAGTGGGTTTTAAATTCACTGTTTTAGCATTTAGATAATGTGTTCTATGCTCAATTTTACATGTTCATTGGGTTCTAATTTAGTGCATTTTCCAGTCAGCAAAATAAGCAAAATAAAAACCCAGTGAACAATTACCCCTTTTACAGTAATGTCCATCCAGGCAATCCAATTGCTAGTGATTACTGATTTTTATTTGCTTTCTTGAGTCTATTTTACGGAGCAATTTCGTTCGATATACGCATTACCAATCGAATTACTACATAAACAAGTACCTTTGTACTGTTCAATGATGTTTGAAAAAAATGAATAACCGAGAAAAAAATAAAGAAAATATGATGACTTCCTCAGTGAATAAGTAAAAAAGAGCTACACTATGTTTGTGATGTTGAACCATTGAATTACGATTATGCCTCCCTCACTCGGGTCGTAAAAAACTGAACGGTCCCTTAAAGGTTGTTGGCTACTTTTAAAACAGATTATCAGATTTCCTTGAATTTAACAATATGTTTTTTTTAGGTTGTTGGCCACAATGAAAAACAAAACAAAAAATAAACTCGGGCCACACACTCATTGTGACATTTACCATTGTCTTTTTTACGGCAAAAAGTTCTCATTATAAATTTTTTTTTCGTTCGGTTAAGTGTGCTGCAATATGGTAAGTAGTTATAAGACGGATATTTATGGTTGTCAAAACTATCAGAAAATACTGACTCATATTATTTATTGTGAAGTAATGTTTTAACATGAATTCCTAAAGAAACTGACCCCCGGATTGACCCATAATCTCATTTTGATCAGATAGTGCAATGATACAATTTACAAGTATAACTATTTTTGAACACAACATCGTGATAGATTTTCCTATTTGACGGGTCGAGTGACCGTAAAGCCCAAAACTACTCAATAATGTCGAGTATAAGGTTTTTAGAAACTTCGTAAATAGTAAAAACCTGGATATTTCGATAATTTATGTACCCCAGCTTATCCCTACTCGGGTCACGATAAGTTCATGGTCAGTTTACGTCATTGGATTGAGCAACCACAATGTTGATTGGCGATTGTATCAGCAGCCGAACAACGATTTATAACAGTGATTTGTATTGGTCCGTTCTCTAATTGAGCATGCGCACATTTATGTTTTGCTATGTCGCGCCAGTGAAGGAAGCCGACGTAAATTCGTGCGAAAGGTGGTATTTGCCATCCAATGAATCGGTTTTCAACGAATCGGCCATTTTTGTCACTTCGCATACCGATTGCAGATAAGTTGAATGTTACAAGAGTGTAAATTCGCTACTATTGGAATCGGTGTTCATATGATAATCACCCTGTGAAATCGGCACATCTGATGTCGTGGAATGTCTGCAGTACTGGGGCTATTGACGACACGCGGTGCAGTCCTTTTCATAACGGTCTTTGAAGAGCTGTGTCGAGAAATTCCTACACATATTGTACATTTCAGAATTAGTAAGTAACCCTCTTTTTCGGTTACAGCGTTTTGCCTAGCCTTACTGGCGCCTTAGTGCGATACGCTCGACGGGGACCAGCGTGTGAAACACGGTTGATGACCTGGAGTGTGGGCAAAGAGAGCATCTAGTGTTGACATTTGATGGGGGCCCATTGTTGTTAAAGGAGGGTTGAATCACCTTCATTTAGTCACCAAACCCTGTGATATCCGGACAGGTTGCTCAGAAGAACGGAAACCGGTCTATAAACGGTGAAATAACAGCCCGATGCCAGCTCCGGTTACCAGAACAAACACAAGCTGATCGCGAATAAATCTTGCTTGACTTTGACCCCATTTGTTGTAAACATAAAGGACGACTACTCATCATGTCTAACGCTGTTACCAGTAATGATGCCTGTCTCAGCATTGTACATAGTTTAATGTGTCACAGACAGGGAGGTGAATCAGAAAGTTTTGCCAAAAGAGCAATAGAAAGCTTGGTGAAAAAGTTAAAGGAGAAACGAGATGAACTGGATAGTTTAATTACTGCAATCACAACTAACGGAGCTCACCCTAGTAAATGTGTGACTATACAGAGAACACTAGATGGCAGACTCCAGGTGAGTAATTTATTATCAATTACAATCTGCACTCAAGAACAATATAAACTGTGGTAATTTATTTTTTATAAATAATCCAGGCCTAGGTTTGCCAGATCTGGATTTACAGTGACTTGCTCAGTGTTTCTATTTGCCTCTGGTAAGAAAGTATTTTACCTTCATTTTTGATTTTGCACACTTTTATTATAAATGGAAAGTGTGCAAAAAATCTCTAAATTTTTTAAAATCCCTTTGAATGATAGATTAAATTTTAACAACTTCTGCACATATTTTATTCTTGGTTGTTTCTGTGTACTGTTTTTTTTTTTATAAATAAGAGTATATAGAACTCCCATTTTAAAAGCACAGTCAGAAAAAACAGTCATTCCTGGATGCAAACATTTTTCAATTTTTGAAAGATTTTTTTTATAGCTACACTCCATGTACATCATTAATTGCATGTGGTAATGTACGGTGTGTATGCAGGATGGATGGATTGCATGGATTGTTATTAGTGCAGAAACGCAGTGGTTTCTGTTGAAATTTAAAAATTATTTTCTATTCATATAAAACGACTGTACAATTTATGATGCTGTATAATTAAAGTTGAAATTATACATTACATCATTAAAATAGAACCAGTCAAAAAAAACCAGAAAACAAAATTACGGAAATCCATTCAAGTACATTATTGCCATATAATACTAGTTTTATGCATAACAAGGGTCACTTTGCATATTGCCATTTAAATGGTGCACATTTAAATAAGTAAAAAATCTCCTGCATAAAGGTAGGTGTTGACCTTCGACCTTTCTCGAAAAAACCCAATGTACTGGAAACCAATCCAATCACAGCAGGGTCACCTAAGGTTCACACCGATAAATTCATATTTGAATTTATTAGAATACTTATTATACTATGACACATACATGACACCCCACTCAATGAAATCACATATTTCTATGAATAATATAAATATTTAATTTTTAGGCCTCCATACCTAACTATTATATTTGCCTTTTAATTTTGTTATTAATAATATAATCATTTTAATATCACTGTCCCTCAATGACTACGATAATAATAAAGATATTGTTACATGTTTTTCAGTACCGGTACATCTGTGTTGGTTTTCAGGTCACTATCCACAGCTATGTGTTTGTCACATTGTAATACGTATTACGTTACCATTCACTTTCTATGGCTTACATTATTCTGTTTAGTGGCGTGCATCGGAGTATGACTGCATGTCAAGCATTCACTCATAAACCCTTACTTAATTAAAGAGACTGGTGAAGCTTGCCTCTTTTGGTACACAGTATGGTCATGGAGCATTGGTGGTGTAGGGGTGGTGGTGTGACGGGGAGGGGTTTAGATGCATTCACATTAGTGAACCGTTTGAATGTGTGTGCTTGTACTGAGTACGCAGGGAATTACTAGTTCTTAGCTGAATTTAAATCAAAATGGCAAAGTAAACTTAGTATGGTGTAGTTGTGCACTTAGGGAAGGGTCACTACATTTCTTTCATTATACACATAGGGGGACTACTTTGATTCATCTCTAAATTTGTAGACTTAGGGGGTCATTTAGCCTGACAATAGTAGTGCACTTAGGGATCACTAAACTTTCATAATGGTACACCTAAGGCGGCTACTTAAGTGAGTTCTGCTAAAGTGGTTCGCTCTGATTTTAGGGGTAACTGGCACTGGGACCTACTAGAAGTCAACAATAAACTTATAACAAACAACTGCTAATTTCTTAAAAATCAAGTATGATGAATTTTATGTTTGACCAAAAAAGTTTAGGGTGGGCAAAAAATGTTAGGGTCACATTATAACACAATTTTTGTAGACCTAAATAAGGCCAAATAAAATAAATTCATGTTTATTGTGAAAATTTTAGGAGAAATAGAAAAGTTCATTTTATGCAAATGAGCATACAATTATGTATTTCTATGCAAAAACTAGCTAAGGTCAAACAACCAAAGTTTTAATTTTTAATTTTGTACTTTCAATATTTAGCACCTAGTAGTATATAGTCTGTAAACTAACTTAGACATCATTTTTTCACATTTGTTGTTAAACTATGATTATGTTCTCCCAAAAACAAAAGTAAAACTCATTTGAACAAAGAAAATAGAATAATAAAAAAAATCACAAACACAAAATTTGTTTTATTTAAACTCATAACCGGCTATTCTTTGCAAAATGAAAGTTTAGAAAATGTTTGTGAAATACGAGAAATGCATTTGATATTTGTACAAGCTGATGAATCCAGACAAATAAGCTAAAAGGTTTATTACAAAGAAACTTAATCGTAATAGGTCTGGAAAGATGACTGAATCTTTTGTCAGATGCTGATGTCAGAATGTTTTTTCCAATTCACTCCTGACGTGCGAGGTCTGAATCTCAGGGGAGACAATGCCTGTGTAAAAATACAATGCGATTGACAGAACAGGTCAACAAGCTAGTCACTCAATTTGGTCACCCAATTTACGAAAATTCAGTGTGGTAAACCAACCCCAGGGGGCCACTTTTACCTAAGTGGTGCACTTACCATGGCGAGGGGGATTATTACGTTATTAGACCAACTATTTGTATCAAAGTGCTTAGTCTATTCTAATATAGGGAGACTTGTTCTGGTAAAGATGAGTTATTGTCAGGATTTACTGTAATTTTAGTGGATTTTCTGTTTCAGGGGTATTCGCTGAGTTTTAAAAATTGTTAGTCAGTGAATAAATTGACATATTTTGGGGTTTTAATTTATCATTTTTAGATGTCTGTGAAGTAAGTGAGAATTATCCACCATTTTGCAATATATGGAAATCGACACGGGTAATGTTTAATACAACTGGGGAATTTTGTAAGTGTTGAATAAAACAAGGGTATAGTTGACCAATTAAATTTTGGATTTTATACCATGTGATAGAGATCTTTAGTTGAAAAGGCCATAAAAATGAAATAGTAAATTAATCACTGCAATCAATCATGAATGTTTGCAAAATACTATACACATTGTGTGTTTACCCAGTCAATATGGTTTTCATAATATAATAAATTACATTAAACATGTCATCAATATTAGTGTATGTGTCATCAATAATTAGTGTACATGTCATTAATACTAGTGTATATGTCATCAGTATTAGTGTACATGTCATCAATATTAGTGTACATGTCATCAATATTAGTGTACATGTCATTAATTCTAGTGCATATGTCATTGTAGAAGAATGTTACAAAAATATTAAATGGCTGTAATCAATCCCTGGCTTTCATATGTAGTAAATTTTTCATAAATATTAGTTTTCTTATTCAGTTTTTAAAATCAGCAGCAAGAGTTGACATTTTGTGATTTACAGATTATCTGTTTTGGTAATCGTGTCTGTTACATGTTTCATCAGTTAGGGTATTGTATACCTGTGTTGCCTGGCATCAGTTTGCAACCCCAAGAGAATTCAGCTCTTCCAAGCTACTCACTTCCCACAATTGCTTTACTTGTACTGCATGGAATATTGTTTATCCAGAGTTGTCAATCACATTAGAAGAAGAAAGAAAGTTATATAATGCAAATTGGTAATATAGGAATACATGTATAGTGCTTAATCCCATTCCTGATAGAGATTTAATATCTTAATATGGACTACATCTCTTTCTGTTGAATTTTAGATATCCTTATCTGACAGCCATGCCCTCATTTAAATATTATAAATCCCCACATGGACTTCTCTAATCTGACTCTAATCAGAAATAATCCATCCCCACATGGACTACTCTAATCTGATTCCAATCAGATATAATCCATTCCTACATGGACTACTCTAATCTGACTCCAATCAGAAATAATCCATCCCCACATGGACTACACTAATCTGACTTGAATCAGAGGTAATCCATTCCCACATGGACTACACTAATCTGACTTGAATCAGAGGTAATCCATTCCCACATGGACTTCTCTAATCTGACTAATCAGAAATAATCCATCTCCACACGGACTACACTAATCTGACTCTAATCAGAAATAATCCATCCCCACATGGACTACTCTAATCTGATTCCAATCAGAAATAATCCATCCCCACATGGACTACTCTAATCTGATTCCAATCAGATATAATCCATTCCCACATGGACTACTCTAATCTGATTCCAATCAGATATAATCCATTCCCACATGGACTACAC